CTGCGCAAAGAACGGTTTTGTTTGTTTAAAAAAAAGCGCGCACATATTTTCATAGAGTGAAATGATTAAATGGCACGTGTAAATGTTAAGAGAAATTTCTCGCTCTTTTCAGCCGGTTCAATAAAAAAAAATTCGAAAAAAAAAAACCACAAAAGTATTCAAGCAATGAGCTTGAACTTTTTTCTTCGTTAACATTGTTGATTTTCTTAAAGTCAATAAATGCGGGTAAAAGTATGTGTTTTTTGTCGTTTTGCGTGGTTTTTCCACGTGTCTTATCGAAAATAAGAGCTTCAGCAGTACGAAATGTCGGCGACGAAAGAGAAAAATATCACTTTTCGCAACCAGACCAGACATAATGAATAAATAACATGAAAAGAAACAAAACAATCATATCCAAATTCCTCCCTCCCCATAGTATGTAAATGATTGCAAGCAATACCATTTTGATTTGATCGATAAATTACTATGATTCAGATCATATATGTTATATTTTTCGGTTTTTGGTTCAAAAATAGATCTGAACATAACTCACTCCATATGTGTGGCATTTTTGTGCACGCTTTCGTGAGGTTGTGAATTATATTATATTATTGCCAATTATTATTATTACTGACCGATTGTGCTGACCTGTCTTCAGTTCTGTTTCAGTATTTTTCTTTCTTTCTTCCTCTCTCTCACTCTTTGGAACGGTTTCTGTTGTTTTCCGTTTATTTCGTTTCAAGTGCGCGGAATGTATGACCGTGTTTACACGACGTCAAAATAGAAAAAGGTTCGTGTGTGGTTCTTTTTTTGTTGAAGATAAAAATGAATCTCTATCATGTCAGTTTGTTTACTTTCCTAATGCTTGGACGGAGATCGATATCTGCATTTCACTCTGATCGAAGGAAAGAAGAAGAAGAAAAAAATCGTACACATGGATCCGTATTCTGTCCACTTATCCCATAGCTGTGAGCAATCGATTATACACCGATCAGATTAGAAGTAAAGTAAGAAGAAAAAAGAAGGCGAACGAAGATTCGATTTCAAGCAAACAAGTATTCATAAAAAACAAAAGTAAAGAAAGTATTCAGATCAAGACGATGTATCTTCTCATTGCATACAAGAAAGTTTTTTGTCTTCTTCTTCTTTTTCATTATTGCACTCAATTGAAAAGCAATGAATGATCGATGGCTCGTCTAGGGCAACTGCCTTTACCTGACTTTATAACAACGCAAGTATCTTCAATATCAATTTACTCTAATTACCGCTATTCTCTAGATGTGAAATCAAGTGAAATAAGATCAAGAGATAGATAGCTGCAAAAAAAATGGCAGTTAGAATAGAGCGTAAATTGATCGACAGCAGCTCATTTCCATAGTGCGATTAGCCATTATTATGGACAATTTAATTCACTCGCTTGTTGTATCAAATTGAATTAATATGATTTGTTCATTTAAAAGAAATAAAAATGTCATTGGTTGTAAGGTGCGATTGGTTGTAAAGAGCAACTTACAGCGAATTCCATATAAAAATGAAAGAGAACTGAAAAAAACTGAAATGCGATCAATTTAATTATGATGAAGATTAACTTCAAAACAAGATTTGCATACTAATAAAAAAAAATTAACCGATCCGCACGAAAACCCATTCGACCGATTCAAATAAAATGAAAACCGTATCATCGGCGCGAATGCGCACACGACATACAAATGATTTGCGGATTGTGTCGTGAATCTAGTAGTCACCGATGTCGATGTATATACATGGGCATTCGTGCATCCGCTTTTCAATTGAAATTGTCCGACTATAAACTGGTATTCTGTTGATTTAGCCATTTCATTAATGAAAAATCGTAGAGAAAGAGAGCGATGATGGAGCCATAATTAAATAAGTCAAAGCGTTTAGCACAAAATGATCTCGTTTAATTTACATTCTCGTTTTGAAAATGTTCAATCTTTTAGTTTTCTATCTCTCTCTCTTTTTCTCTCTCTCACTCACTCAACAGCTCGCTTAATTTCACTGTCCATGTGTCGGCAATGGCAATCACATTCATCGCAATCGAATTCATTGATCAAAATTGTATGTATGCTAAGTGAAACTGAAACCAAAAACCGTTCTTTTTTTGTTTCTCTTTTTCGTTTCATTTTTTTCTTCAGTCGGTCCACGCCACATTCATAAATTGAACTCGAAGCAAGTTCGGCGGCCAATTTTCCAATATATAATATTCAGCTATTTTTCAAGTTGAATGGAACTAATTTATGGTTAGGCATTTGGTAGTGAGCATGTTTGCCACACATCAATTTCGAACCAATGCAGTCTTGTACATTAAAATTTTGTGAAATGCTGAGAAAATGAATGGTTGCCAGAAGTTGTGATTGAAATAGCACCCAAACGTAAAATGAAATTAGCGTAGAAAAATACAAACGGTCATGACTCAAGTGCAATTCCATTAAAAAATATCGTTTTGGAAATTGACAACAACAAGACGCCGCCATCACAACACATTCTGACTTGTACCTGTTTGTTTCATTTTCATAAAGTGCATGAAACATAAAATGTATCTGTAAATTATCTGGTTTTCTGTCGTTTCGAAATGAAATCAAAGGGATCACGAACTCACGAAAGGGAAATGAATGTACAAAAATGAAACGAAACATTTCAATGTCGATGACAACAACAACTGAGGAGGCGAAACGACGTCAATCGTGTTGCACTTGTTAGTATTTTGCATTAAATCAAATTGTTGCACGGATTGAGATAGAAATGTGCTCTTGTTGTTGTTTTTTCTTGTTGTTATTGTTCCGGAGGCAAATAATGAAAGCGATTTTCACAATCAAATGCTCACCCAATCGAAGTTTAGACAACTATTTTAAAACATACATTGCTTATTTTTAAGATAAGTCGCCCAAAGTTGTGAAATGCAACAAAAGAAAAAGAATTGCATTTGAATGCATTTCGAACCGCGCATTTGGATTACAGATTGAGAGAGGAACAGGAAAGAAACTATACCAAAGACAGTGAATAATCATTCAAAATATCTTGGCAGTTTTTTCATTGTATTTCAATTTCTCACCTCTTTTCTTTACGTAAATACGCTAGATACAGTTAGATTTTCGGTTTGTGCGAATTTCGGCACAAAAGGCAGCGGAAAAAAATAAATAAATAAATAAACACAGCATACAGCACAGAGCATGGCACATTTGCATAAGTACTTCGTTAACCGGGGTCTTTAGCGGCCACAGAGCCGCATGTAGCACCAAATCATTGGATCAGAGAGCTAAGCATACGAAATAACAACAATAATAACATGCAAAACTCACAGCAATAAAAATTTCACTTTAACATATAAATTTTTTTTATCATTAATACGTGCTTGCGCGCATAAACGATGTATTTGTATGTGTATGTATGTGTTCGGTTGGATGTGCCCCTTTCTCTACAGTTCGATGTGCATATGAACCAGTGGCCGCTTATTTCGACTTCTTTCTACCATTCAATTTCAGTTTTCTTTTTCGAAACGAAAAAAAAAATGTGTACAATTTTGCGGTTTTTTTTCCGTCGTGAATGCCATGGAAAAAATATCGAAAAAATGAAATGAACGAGATGAATAATGTTTTCTTGCACAAAATACAATGTGCACAAAAAAGAAGGCGACGCGATGTAAAAGAAGAGAGAAAGAGGGAGAAATGTGCGCGCAAGCGCAAAAAGCACCAAATAAAGTTGAAAAGAGCATGTGAATCGACATAATGCCAAAAAAGTTATTTACATGCATTCCAAATTTCTCAGCGCATTGCATCTCAACAACAACAATGCCAAATGGTGTAAACAAAACAACAACATGGAACTTTAAAGTTGAATGAACACAGTCGAACTCTCTGATTCATGCAGGTGGTAAAGCTATGGTTAAACCGCCGAAAAAATGATTCAAAGCAGTTCACGGCTCCTGCGGTGCTAACTTTTATCGGCATCCATCATCATCATATCAATTTTCGAATGAATAACAAAAGCAGGTGCCGGAATGGTATGAAAACAATGCGTACAAATAAAATCGTGCATATAATAATTCAGCATGTTCCAAAATGTGTATGCATAATTCATGGTGGCAATTGAAAAACTGAAGCAGCAAAGAAAAAAAACATACACACACACACCAACTATCTCCCAAACAAAATGTGTGCGTGTGCGTATACAGTTGTGAAAAGCCCACGTTATAAATTTTTAATCGTGCCTAATCAATTCAATCTTCTCATCAAACAATGTAATACGCATGTTTAATATTTGAATGGAAATTACTACTTATTCAAATTAACGACCATTGACATGTTTATAGAGAAGAAAATCTGAAATGGCACGGTAGATTAGCAGATTGGACTGGATTGAAATGAACGAAATAAAACATAAAATGAAGCGTCCATCGACGTGTCAGTCATTAAAAAAGAGCAATGAAATGAGATTCTCTTTTTTTTTATGTAGATACGATATAATTAATAATAACGGTCGGAATAGGTGCGATATATTTGTTCAAATGTGATATTAAAGTCGCCCATAATTCATTTGAACGAAGTCATAAATGCGACTCACAAATGAATTGACTTGAATTAATCAGCAAAAGAGAACGATCATTGCTCAAACTATCACCAGCGCGATAATGTGCACTTTGCTTGCATTGCGCTTGCACTATGCACAGGCACAACACATATTTACCGCGCAAAGTTATTATTTTTATTACGAATCATTATTATCAACATGGGATGTGACACGCAGCAACACTACGAACTAAACCAAAATTCAAAAATCGTTCTCGCATTGTTGCACGGTACGCTCGACGTACAGACGAAACACACTGTGTGTGTGAAATTGTTGTTTCCACCACAAGTGCTTATGCGGATGATGTGCTTTTCTCTTCGTTTTGCCTTTAAGACAACCGTTCGCATTATCACCGTCGTTCAGTCGGAATGAATGGAAGCGTGCGATTTTCTGAATGTGTGGCGGCTGCCGAATGAATAAACCATCGCACGCTGACATCGACGACTGGCTTTACTGATCGTCAGTCTATCTTTGCCAAGCATGATAATCAGTTGTGTTTACGCGTACCGGTGTGATTTGTTGATTTACTATTAAAGTTTTATTTCTTGTTTATCGAATCAATTCGCGTGTGTGTGTCTCTGTGTGTACTCTATGTAAAGAAATCATTTTATCTTCATCGATTTTAAGCTGCTTTTTTTCGTGACGCTTTTCAACTCGATGAATGGATACATTAACAAATTGACATCGTATGTAAACGATTATGTTTATTTTTTGCTTGTTTTGTTTAGTTTTTTTATAACTGTTTCTTTTGTAGTTGAATTAGTTCTTATTGCTTCGTTGTGTAGATTGTCAAGTGTTTATTGATTTTAAATTTATGTGTGTAAAGTGTGTTTTTGGTACGGCTTCGTTTATCATCTATGAGCCAATTTTGGCATAAACCACATTTTCGAATAAAAATTTCCATTTCCATCAATACGATATGTTAATTGATTGCATGAATTCTACTGGTTTTATTTTCTAAAGAAAGTAACATTCGCATGAAAGAAATGACCCCTTTAAATAAAAATTGAACGATTGGGTGGTCAGTGTGCTTGTGGTTTACTCGGAAAAGACGTTGTGCCAAGAGAAAAATAAATTACTAGAAATTCCAATGCAATATATCTATTTTGGACTGAACAAGCTTTATATTTAACACCAATTCTATGGTGCTTATTGTGTTAGATTTCATATTTTATTCTCAGAAAGAAAGAGAAAAAAAAGATTGATAATCACTTGTTGACCGAACAGTGCTAAATGATTTGACATGTATTTGGATCATACTAATTGATTCATTGTGACTCCGAAGTTGAAACTATAATTAGATCAAATTATCCATACGTGAAATGAATTGATTCGTGTGCAGTCATTTTAATTAGTTCCATTTTTCAGTTTGATTGAAGATGATAGGTCTGTGTTTAATTCTGCGAAAATATGTACTCAACCGGTCACTGCTGTGAATTATTTATACGAATTTCGATTGATTGAAAGTTTTCGCAGTCATCGCTGTGATTGAAAGGGTTCTTTGTTGAATTATGTTAATTAAGCGATTGATTGAAAATTAGCGAGAATTCGATTTAGCATAAACGTGCAATGCGATTTGTTATTCGGAATTTGCTATTATTGCTTTCGTGTTGATTTACAAATCAAATTCAATCACGTACACAAGAGACTACGTAATTTCTGATTGTCACATCATTAGTGGTCAATTTCAGACATTCAACATTGATGGTGAAAAACCGTCTCCTGGGTAATAATGATTACAAAACAAAGATCGCCAAACAATGTGTTGATGTGGTGGCGTGTATGGATTTGGATTACGTGCACTTCTTTTAAACGATTACACTTTTATTGGCGCATGACTGAAAAATTGTACGTTTTTACCATACACTTTTCTTCTTCTTCTTCTTCTTTTTCACTTTGCATTTCGAAAAGAAGGCAAGTGAAAAATCCAAACGTGTTCACTTGCAATCGTTTTGAATACAATCGAAATGTGAATGCACTACCGAAACGTGTAAATAAATATATAAATCCACACATCTCAATTACGAAATATTGACGCTGGTGTTTTTCTGAAATGGGTACTTTTATTTTCATTCACCATCGACACATACAAGTCGTCGTCGTCGTCGTCGTCGCTATCGTCATTAGTTTTGTTGTTATTTGCTTTTGGCGTAAACCAAATACGGTCAATCTGTGATTGCATGCCGCCAATATTTTTTTGTTTTGTCTTTTCTTTTAATTCGATGGCAAACGACAATTGCAATGATAGCGCACAAACTAAATAAAACCGGGCATATTTTAATTAAGTGCTTTTCCAAATACTACATATTGACACATTTCACATCCTTCGTTCGCCGCCCATTTCACTTCAGATTCTCTGAGGCCGACACACAATTGAGCGAAAAACTAAATCCATATTTGAACATTTAAACGAACAAATAATAAAACAGACGGATCCATTGTAAATACCATACATATAGTTTTTTTTCACTATCTTAATCAAAACAAGAAGATAAAATGAGCAGCGGCAACGGCACAATCATTTCTATGCTCGCCCACAGTTCCCTTCGCATCTTTGCTATTGAAAGTATGAGTGTCTTTTTTTAAATAACGAAATCGAGCGCTGTAATATAAACCAACACACAATCAAAATATTTACTTGAAAGAAAAATTGCGCAAATTACCCTGGTACTGCTTTCAATTGCCGTCATTTTTTTTAATGCCCCGATGGAACAAAACGATGCGATTGCCAAAGGTTTTTTTGTTTGTTTGTTCGTTTATTTGAAAACCTCCAAAATGATAAGTACACTTGAACAAATAAAGAAGATTAATTAAAGATTTAAACAGGTGAGGTTTACGCCAATTTGGTAATTTCTCAATTTTATTTGGAATATTTCGGACAATTTCATTCATACGCTATAGACCGCATCTTGTGTTTATGAGCGCACGTCATTGCAAAATTAGAGCAAGATAATGCGATTGCATATGATCAAAATTTTAAAATGGGACAAAGTGATGAAAAATACACACACAAGCTCAAGCACATGCATAGACACATATTCATTGCGCAAATAAATTAAAATACATTATTGGAAGCTATGATTTTTATAGACGCCAATCGACGATTCAGGCCATTCAAATATTCAAATTCAACCGGACGCAATACGTGACGCTATTGCTTACGAAGCATACTGTAAATCAACGAACACACATAGCTATCACACGGAGTCTGTCGAAACGTTTTATGTAAACACAATCGAAAAGAGAAATGTTTATGTATGCGATGCGATTATTGTTTATAAAAATGCTTTAAACTTCAACTCCGACATCAAGTCTCACACCAGTAAATAAAACAAATGGAAATATTCTATTGAAATATATTACTATATTCATGACTATGTGTATTTTTTGATTATTATTCAATTTTCGAATGCGAATCATTTGATAAGTCCCATCACTTTTCGTTTTTATACATTATACACATTTTCAAAAACACTTGATCACACTGTCGTCAAAACTAAAGTCGATGAAATGATGGCAAAATAGACAAATGTATGCAAAATCGACCATTTAATCGTCTTTTCGACAAAATTAACATTAAAATGTTTTTTCGCTTTGATTCTCAGGCGAATTTTTTGTTCCGCGATACGTTTTCATTTGTTTGGCACGTTTTTGGTATATTCATGCAAATTTTATGTATTCATTGATTGCTTTGTGATTTGTTATCTTCTAACACTATAGTTTTTATTTGTCGCTGATCTTTTGTTTTATTGCAAATCCAAGTTGAAGGTAAAGTAAGTAAACGAAACAGAATTCGAAATTAGTTTGTCAAAAAAAAGTTGCACTTTTTTTTCTAGTCGAGAACGAAATCATAATGAATTCATGATTTGTCCGATTTCCTGCAAATTAGTGATGATGATTTATTCAAACTGATTGACCCGTTTATAAACACAAAGCGAAATCGAACAATAACAAAATGATGACAATAGCTCTTAATACGACATGGGACATGCTTCGACAGTCGACTCAATCAAAAATTATCGACTCAAAAATGCAGTCGAGTGAAGAAGCGACTTGGTGTCTATGGTGGCCACAGCAAAACGTTTTCGAAATGGATCATGAAGAATTTCAGATAAAAAAAACACAACAGCAAAGTGAAAAAAATGTATAGCAAGCTGCTATTAGCAGCAGCAACGACGACGACGAAGACAAAACAAACACACGCCAAATTGATGAGACAAAACCAGAAGCCGGTATACAAAAGAGAGAGAGAGAGAGAGAGAGAGAACAAGAGAGTGAGGAAGAAACGGCAACGCAATAACAAAGAAAATTATGGTGATTTTGTTCTCATTTTTCGGAACAGTGGTTTAACATGAATGCCATCGAGCGTGTGTGCGGATGTAACTTCAACTTGTGATATTACATTGCTACTGCCGTTCATTGTGTGGCTTCTTTTCTCAGTTGACTCTTCTTCATTTCAAGATACGTCTTCGTCGTCATCATGATTGTGTTGCATTTTGGTTGGTGTGTTTATTGTTTCTAAACTTCTGGCAGGTTGTTGTTCTTCTTCACATATTTCTCGTTTGCCGTCAGATTTTTCGTTTGGATTATATGATTTGACGTGTGTGATTGCCATAAGTTATTGTTACGTATGTTTAGTTATTTTGAGTGTGCATCATAAAGATACAACTCGCATATAATTCACATCGGTAGAAGAGAGTCGAGAACGAATGAGAAATAAAGGGCCGAAAACCTTCAGAGCTTCGCGTGCGTCATCTTCTTTTACGTGATTCTCTCTCTCTCTCTCTGTGTGGGTTTTTAGCACACGAAAAAGGTTTTGTGAGATATGAAAACTGTATACATATACAAACAACACACGCCACACATCGCTATTGCAAATTGAATTGTTTCGGTCTTGAGCGATGATTGAAAATGCACACTGAATACAATTAGAAGAACTTGCAGAGAAGTAGTTAAATGTGCCACATTTGAACGTATGTTCATTCATGTTCGTCTTTTTTGTTGTTGTTTTGTTTGATTGTGGCTTTTGTTCCAATCTCTGACTGTTTTTTCCTCTTGGCTTCTTTTACCTTCTTTTTTTTTTGATTATTCGTTGATTTATTTCGTATTATTTGTCTCTGCACTTTACTCTCACATTTGTTGGTTTTATACTATGCCATTACATTGTCGAAACGAGTTCATATATTCAGAGCAATAATTTCTGAGATCGAGAAAATCTCTGTTTTGGTGCAGTCATTTACGATTTCTCATACTCATTGCTCGCCGCAATCATTTTCACGTTTGACGTGCCGCATTAAGATATTTTCGGCCAGCGCAAAAAAAAACCATGCACACATAGTCATAAACGAAAAATAAAAAGAACCGTTTAATAATAATGAATATGTAGAGAGTAAATGTATGAAAGAGGAGGAAGAGCGAGAAAGAGAGAGAGAGCAATCAAGACAAAAATAAGCGAATTACTTGGCGAGATGCATTTAGGTGCGATTACTTTCATAAAACGCCGATGGTCAGTCGGTGCGCGCCATGTCATGCCTGTACTTTATGCGGCCAACATTCACCAAAGTTGCTGCGGTTTGACCATTATATTTATTAATGTGAACACATACGTACGACTATGTTGTTGTTGTTTTTTTTCGCTGTCATGTAAGTGCTTAATTAATCTACCAGCTAATGAGTTTGTTTGCCTGAGCCTCTTTTTTTTCTCAATCTCTTCTCTTGTGCTTGCCAATGTGGATCATTCTTAGCGTGAGAATTTGTGTAATTCAAAGACGGTAATATCGCACCATCAATGCTGCCGCAGCATTGCTGCGAAGCAAATAGTAGTGCGCTCTTTTTTATACAATCCCGTAAGCTGCGGGTCATTTTCAATGGCGACGGACACAAAAATGTCTCACAGTCGGATCAAATGTTTGTTCTATTTTTCTGTTTTTGTCATTCGAACAAAACAACTGAATTGCAGTGCGACATATTGACATTTGGAATTTACCGTTGTATAATTACTTGGCAATCGCTTCCGATCTGGATATAAAAAAAGTCTCTCTCTCTCTAGATAAATTCACTTGGTAGAATTGTCGTTGCCGATCATTTGATCTGTTGTCGACGACAGTATAATTTCAGAAGAAAAAAAAACTCGAAAGTCGAAAGTTAAATTCCATTTCATGCGGAAATCTTTTGAATTTCGTGTGTTTGTATTGCATCAGATCGATGTCAAAATGTCACATTGACAACGATTAACGACGGCATTCTTTTTGTTTTATATGGCCACGTAATTTATTTTCTCGATTTTCTGATACTTCCTTATTGATTCACTTTTTTTTCGTCATTTCAATGATAAATAAAATAAAAGATGTTTAATGAAAATAATAAAAATAAGACATGCTCTGGCAGCAAACGGAACGAAATATCGGTCATTTTCGAAGTGCAGGTTGTTGTTGTTGTTGAGTGATTGTTGCCGATGGTGATAAGCAAAACAGCATCTTCAATATCCTATAAACCGAATGCCACACAATATGACAGCTCGAATAGCTGCATGAACACAAAATTACGTTAAAAATTGAGCATGCGCATGTGAGTAAAAAAGGAAGTAAACATACTTGCGGGTAGGAAACAACTGATCACGAACAACAACAAAAAAAATTAACTACTCATAATGGAAACAAGAAATCTGCATCATTGCCGATGAGAAATGAACGACGAGCCAAATGAAAAGCGATGCGTTGTCACGATCGGTGCGTGTGAGTGCATATGTGACAGGCCATTGATGACTTTTTCCTTTTTATTATGGAAATATCGTCTCTTTGATTGCATTTCATTGGGCGGCAGTTCCGACTGAAGAAAATTGCCATTTTACTCTTTACGTTAACAACATTTTATGTCTGTAACTGATTAATAATAATGATTATTATTTAGCATTTACTTACGGGTCGCCTCATTTGATTGAAACAGCACAGCCAGAGAGTTTGAGCGCTCACTTTACGGAGAGAGTGATTTTGCGACTTCTTCAATAAATATGTGGCTTACAACTTTTTAATGTGATAAATGTTTTTTTCAAAAAAAAAAAAAAAAAAAAAGATTTACTTATTCGCTACATCACAGAATCACATCAATTCGCGACGTGTGGTTTTTTTGCGATCGTCGTTGTTACTGTCGTTGCTGTTGTTATTTTGCGCCACTGTTATTTTCAAACCGAATCGATCTTCGTGTATCGGTTGCTCTTAATAATAATAAAGAAGTATATGTGAATGTATCGAGAGTGTAGAGCAGACCTGTTCTTCATTTCATTGTGTATATATTTGCCATTTTTGTACGATTTTTTTACTGCGCCACTCGTTTCGACGTCTCTTTTCAATTGATTGTCGCGATTCCATTGCCATTACCTTAACGAAGCTCGTCGAAGCCACTGTCTATATAAAATAAACACAAAAATAGTGGAAAAAAAGAAGAAGACAGAAGCTTATCGCCTGTGAACGATAATTCGAAGCATTCGAATCGATCGCAGAGCAAACGACCAAATACATTGTAGGAAGTGATTTAAAATCAATATTTTGTCCACGTTTTTTTTAAATTACTATAAAATTCGCTTAAGTAACACGTATATACTTTAATACATTCTGTTGTTGTATCTCTTTTTTTTCTCTTCTCCATTCCAGATATATCGTTCGATAATCATGATAATTACTTGAGCTTGAGAGATGACCGCGCTCTTAATGAAGATATCGCTGATAACGAATTAACCAACACCACAATTCATTTGAGTAAAATACTACGGCTTGATCCATTTCAATCGCCGTCGAATTAAAAAGTGAAACAAAATTGAAACAAAAAAAAAACAACAACAGCAACACATTGAATTTATCATTAAATCTCAAGTGTGCGACAAACGGGAAAAACGATTTAACAAAATTACGTGAAAGAAAAACCTAAGCACATTTATCGGCAATCGTCGTGTGCGTACAGCTCTTCGGTGTGATCATTGTGAACGTGAAAGATTGAAAGCGAAGACAATAAGAAAAAAGCACACACCATTTATGTATACTGTGGATGTGTGTTAAAAAGGTGAACGAGAAAGACTGCGTCGAAAGAGATTATTGAATGTGCAACGAAGATTGCATTTTAATAGCGCAAACAACATCAACATCACCATCGTCGTTGTCAATTCTCACATCGAACGTAATTAACTATTATCTTATTGACGCGATTTGAAGTTTTTGATAAATATATAATAACGATTATTCAAAAAGAAGAAAAAGAAGAAAAAAATTTCGAATAAAGAAAAGTCAATTTACTGAAGACACTTGTAGCGCTCCGTTGTACACAGAGAATTGTGGTTTAATACGTTCAATCGTGCCGAGTGAGTGTGTGATAGAGCTGAGAAAATTAACATGTAAATTGTTGGAAAAACAGCGCATTCGTGAACGCGAAGAGAAAATAAATCGAAAATAGAAAAGGAAAAGTGTATGATTGCGAATATTTATTGGTAAATGCAAAGGAAGTGAGTGCATTGAATAAACATATATAGCAAAAAAAAAAAACGAAAGAAAAAAACTTGTGAGAAATCGCAAAATCTCGAAGGGAAAACAAGAAAAAGCAAAAGAAGGCCGAATAAAAAAATGGATAAAATAAAAGTGAAAATTGAAAATATAGAGATGTCAAACACAGACGCTATGCTAAAACCGACATTGAGTTCCACCAAATCGATAGACGAAGGATTCGAAAGTGATCCAGACCGTGATTTATCAAACACGGAATCAGATTCGAATCATCATCATTTGCAACAGCAACAGCAACCATCGTCGTCATTGTCTGGCGTTGCTTCGATGGTGGTTCAGTCATCTCCATCGTTTGATGTTCTTCAAAGAACCGATCGTGATGGTGTACAACATACACAAATAACACGTCGACCGTTACATGACTTTCCAGGTCATAAAACATTCGAAAGCGGTACGTCATCTCTATTGAGCGCAAACATTGAAAATCCACGGCGCAACAAAGAATTGGATAAGAATCGCATCGTTTATACAACAAATCCAAAAGTATCAATTCCACGTGCCAGTGGTGGTGGTGGTGCCACGGCCAATCATCAACGTATGTTAACAACAAATAGTTCAATACAATCAACACAATTGGGACACTTAACACCGAATCATTTACAATACAATGGAACCCATGGAACAACGTCAATTGGCAATAATGCATCAACATCAACAATCATTGATCAACATAATCATCATCGTCACCGTTTAACGGGCAAATCAATTGAATCACATGGCAATTCACGTTTGGCCAAATCAACCGAATTGATGTTACGTAGTGGTAATATTGGACGCGAACGCATGAATTTCACACCAGCTACAATCAATGATAATCTCTCACAAGTGGCACTCATTAATGGTAAATTGATTTGTGTGAATATGCCCGTTACACAAATTATTCCAGCTGTATCGATACCATCCGCTGCTGCATCGTCATTGGCAAATGGTTCACATAATCACATCATTCATAATTCCAAGCGACATTTTTCAAATAGCACGAACCCCAGTACGGGCAATCAAGCGACGAAAATTTGCAATAATCATCATCATCAAAAGTACATTAGTAACGGTCGCAATAACAACAGCATCAGCATAAGTGGCGGCGGAGGAGGCAACGGTAATGGCAACAACAACAACAACATCAACGGAATCGCGAATGACGTGAATTCAATCGCTCAACAAGTGAATAATTCGATTATACAAAATGCAAACAGCAGCATTCATACATTTTATCCAGCCGAAGGGAATATCAGTTTGATACAATCACAGTATGGTCTCAAATATAAATCAACACATTTGAACCGAATACAAGAGCAACCGGCACCGATTTCACTCTGGTCACAGTCACTGGCACGCCAACCAAGAAGGTAAATGCATATTTTCCATCTACACAGTTTTATTATTATTTTTTGCATTTTCTATTTCCACGAAATAAACCACTTATTTTATGGACATCATTCGAATCGTTTACGAATCATTAATCAATTCGATTCGACAAATTTTTCTACCCGTTCGTTCGTTCTGTTATCATTATGTTTGACTGTCTTTGTGCATGAATCTTTTTTTTATTTCCAACATGCACTGAATGCATTTTCAAAATGATTATCATCATCGTTAGCGTATTTTTTATTATTCAAGCTTGTGTCATTATATTTATCGGTTTTTGTAAATGCATTAATCAAGCTTATTGAGCAGCCATGCCGAACTACGTTATTGACCAGATGTATACACAGAAAAATAGAAACTACAACGATGACGCTCGCTCCAAAATTATGGTACACAAATAATTTAAAATTATCTATGGTGACACTTGACAGTATGATGATATCCATGTGCCAAAACAACTTTACTAACTGCGCATTTGCATTTCACGAGGTTTTCGTTCAGTCGTGTTATTTATGTTATTGCCGCGGGCATATTGATTCAATGATTTTGGATTTCTCTCTCTTTCTCTCTCTCTCAAATTCATTCGTTCTTCAAATATTTTTCAATGAATATGCAAAATAGACGCGATGAGCTCATTTCAACTTTGGCAATGGCACAATAACAATTTGGATGGTGTCGTCTTTTTTCGTCAGTAAGCCAACAAAACGAGCAATAAATTTCCACATGTAAACGTAAGATAGCTTATTGAGAAATAGAGATTTCAAATTGATGTGAGGATTTGCATACGGAACGAACGAAAGAACACACACCATCAATCGCAAATTGACAACAAAACACATTTTCACAGGTCATGCCAATCGATAAAAATGACTTTGACCAATGAATTTATGGATCGATTCGTTTTTCTTTTATCAGATATTTTCGTATCGCAAATGACAAAATAAAATATAACCTATCAAAATTATTATTGAATTGTTAACAGTGTAGATTCAGAAACGAGTTTGTAAATGTCGTTAATTTTTGCATGGAAACAATTTTTTTTCGTGATTTAAGAAAAACACGATCTCCTTTCGATTTGTGGGCGCTGGACGCTCTTATTGGATGCATGCAATGTCTCGGCATGAGCACTTGAAATGGGTGTCCTTAAATGCGTGTTTATTGAAATGTTGCAAGTTGGGCGTTGTAAAACATTGTTGTTCAACTCAACGCAATGAAACCAATTATTCAGTTGTTGGCGACTGTAAACGAAAACCCAACAACTCAAAGTCAATAGCCGCTCTTTTGGCTTGCTTCTTTCATTTCAATTATGATAATAACCGAAGAGAAAAATTGTATGGATGAACAGATAGCAACTGATTCATGTAACTGACATTTAAATATACAATTTTTTGGCAGTTAAGTAAAAAAACAATTCCAGTTATTTTATGTTGACTTGCAAACCGATGTGGTAACCAACATACACACATACAATGAGAAGAGAATAGTTTTGTGATAGTAGATTATGAAATCGCAATCGCCATCCAATTCGAGTGTTGTGTATGGCTTGCGTGTATGAAATACAGACCATATCATTTTTCGAGGTCATCCGCCTTAGCGAGCACACAATAGTCACCTGAATAATATGAGACAATAAAAGAAGAAGAAAATAGAAACAAACAAACGGCCTAACTGAATTTGATGATATTTTGTGTGTATGTGTGTGTCTTTGCCCATTTTGCTACTGATGTCTTGTGATGCTCTGAATGATATTCAGTGAATTCAAGATAAAATTACAATGAATCTCTGAAACCAAGGAAATGCCAATGAATTGTGCTGCATGTATACGATTTCGATGGGTATTCATACTGCCGAATCAGAATATCTATGAATGAAAATTAAGTTCAATTCAATGCATACGATATAGAAAGGTGTTTGAATGTAATAATGATGTCAAGAAAAACATCACAACTAAACAAAACACGGTGATAGTTGAACCGAAATAGTATCAATGACAAAAAAAAGACATAATTCGCTATTGATACTGTGAGTAACTGTGTTTTGACAAACTATTCAAACTTTAGTTGAATACATTTTTGCATCGAATTTCAGAATTGCGAATTGCGAAGCCTTTTTTTAGCGAGATATATTGAGTAGAAACAAAACAAACCAAGAAAATTGGTTCGGCCACGTATGTGTATGTTGAATGTGTGATATATTTGTTAGCGGCATTTTTTCACTCAAAAACAACAGAAGAAAAAAATAACCAGAAAATCAAAATGTGAAATTTATTACGATCACCAATATTTGTGCAGGGAATGGAACTGAATATGATTGAATAATGGCATACGAAAAAAACAGCAAAATTAATGGCACTTATCGAAGATTCATTGCGAACGACGGTGAATTATGATTGTTTTTTTTCTTCGCTCTCCATCGCATTGCGATTCATTATAAACTTAATCATATATATTTTTGATCAGCATTTGATGGACGCCGTGCTTTTCCTTGTGCGTATTTTCATCGTTTTGTTTGCCTTTCTTTCTCTTTTTCTTCGCGATCATCCACATTTTAATCATGTCTTTTGATTTCGTAACTTTATCAGCGTTTTTGTAGTGATTCGCTTGCGAGAGTGCATTGGCATCGTTGCCACAACGTCAAAATGACGGAAAGATAGAAACTTAATAACTGCTTGACTATTTGGTGAATGCGTTAAAACAATGTGTGTACCAGGGTACGCACATATCACTTTCGTTTGTCACAAAATGAAAAATTACCAACATTAACAGAGTGTCTGAGATAGCAGTGTGAAGATTTTTGCACTGGAAATTCAACGGTTTCAATCTTTCAATTCTTGTTTAGAGATCTTTCTAAATTTGTTTTATTTTTTCGCGAGATCCATAAATGGATGGCATTTTTTAAAGAAAAAAGATTAGTTAAGCAACTGAAATCTATATTAATTTAATTCGATATTACAAATGAAACATGTCTCTTCGCCAGAGGCTATGAATCAATGGTATTGGTCATTTATGTATTGAATAATTTGTTCACTGAATTTCGATAGCACATTGACCGGGCTTATGAAAGTGATCTTTCCAAGCTGACAGTAATTGCAGAGTCATCAAGCCGAATCAATTAGACTGAAAAAGATGAGTAAAAGAAAACTCGAATCACCAGTCGATTTATTGCTCAAAGGCATTAGTCAGTATTGCTCCATTGTTGTATAATCGATTTACTGCTTTCGTGTGTATCATCTTCGCCTAAATTTATGATGATTTCCGGTAAATTAATGCCTCTCATTTTCTATGTTTATCTTAAATTTTAAATCCATTTCAACTTGTTATGAATATGATAGCGTGTATACATTTTAAAATATCGATTGATTTACACAGCGAATATGATACAATGTTTATTTCGTCTTGAAAGACTTAAAAACAAATTTATGGCCATTTTAATTTGTTGACTGATTCTAAAAATAGCAATATATCTGACAAAGAAACATAAATTTCATTTAATATTCAATCAGTTGCAAAGTGAAATGGAGAAAATATTATGGTGACCAGTCGATCGTAAGAAAACAGTCACAACAACAGATTTCTATTTGTTGTTTTGTTCACCTCCGCCTCCTTCGTCGTTTGCTTGTGCAATCCAACAATTCTCATTAGGCGGTAGATTTAGAAGTGTCTTGAACGCAGTAATTAAATGTGACATACATTTCAATAAATCAACCGCAACGATGACGACGACGACCACGGAACACAATCCTATTCTTGTGATATATCCAAATGTAAAAGTTTTTCCTTTTTTGTGTACACTGTACACTTTACACATCAAACCGTTTGTTGCTGTCTGCACACACGCTCCATCCATCATCCGTGCGGATTGTCCATCAAGTGTACGAGTGCCACAAGCATATTTATGTTATCCGTATTCGTTTTTTTTAACTCTCTCGGCAAAACTTTTATCGCCTCTTGCCGTGCGCATTTCAAAATAAGAAATGCGATCCGCACATAGTAATAAAACTGAACCAAGTCACACAAATGTATAAGGAATGATTCATTAGTTCAGTTTTAGCGTGTAGTAATTTGCTGTTGACCGCATTCTCTTCACCATGTTTTTTTCTTCTTACTTTGGACATTGTTTTGCGCTGCTATGATTTTTTTTTTCTCTCTTCATTAATTTGGTGAACGAGCGCGAACGCAGCAATTCAACAGTTTATGAATGAAATTTTCTTTTCAATGTCTCTCTCTCTCTCTCTCTCTCTCTGTATCTATCTCCTTTGCTTGATGCATTTGTTGATTTTATCCGGCGTCAACTTGCCAAATAGAAATATGATTATGGCTTTGCCCATTTGTGACGGTCTGGTATATCGAATGCTTTGAGAAGAGACTCGCACAGAGAGGAAAAAAGGAAATAAATGATAAACAAACATATTTGGGTGTTATAATAACCAGTTGAAACTGGTTGAATCGCTCACTTCGTGTGAAATGTACATTTGTGGTCCTCAAAAACTTTTTACGATAATAACTCTCAAATTTGAATGAGAACAAAACAAAAATAAATTTACATTGAAATTTAAATGAATTCGAGATTGTCAGCATGTGAAACGATGAATAACACCAATCAAATGAGTCATGACCGACAAAAAAAGGGAATTTGAAACACCGCCGTTTGTTCGCAAGAAAAACAATTAAAACCGAGTTGAACGAAGAAAAAAAATATTTGAGCCGCGAATGCGATGAATTTCGCAAATTCAGTTTTTATGAATGTGCGTGCGTTATAAAAAGGCATTTTATGCCTTTATGATCGCGTCGAATAACCGGAGGCATGAAATACTTCAAAAAAATACATATGTTTATTAATAAGTCGCCGTCGAGATTTTTGATGCGAATATAAGCTTTACTCTCGAAATGTAAAATAGCTCGAGTAATTAAAATTGTCGGTGTCGACTTCATTATTATTTCGCATATCTACAAAAATACATTATTTTTTACCATTTGATCTGCTGAACCGCAAAATTAAACGGCAAAATAACACGACGAAAACGTCATTTCCGAAAGCAATTATTTGCATGTGCACAAAAATTCGAATACACATCCAAAAATAAGAAAGTTAAAATTAGTTTTCCTTAGAATATGAAAGAGTGTGGGAGTTTTTTTATCATTACATTGATAATAAGATTTTTTTTGTTTTCTGCTAAATTACCAAAGATAGGCGTACAATTTGTGTGTATTCCGGCAAAAAAATTCCATTAGTTTGCTTTTTTTGCGAAATGACACGATAGTAGCCATATTTCAATACATAAAATCATGTACGATCAATAGATTGAGAGAGAAAAAGAGAAACATTTGCGATTTAAAAATATGAAGAAAAAAAAAACATTGAACAATACGAACGAAATCGTAAAAAAATTCATTTTCCCATCCGCATCGCAAACTCTTTATGCATATGAAATGTAAACATGAGCGCAACCATTTCTTTTTCTCTGTGATGATTATGTCTTTCTTTTAACTTCGGCTCATATCTGTTTTTTTTATGTGCGTTTCTTTTGATTTATAATTTGAAAAAGTCATTTGTGTATGCTTTTTTTCTCTGCAAACGAGTAAAGACTCTCTATTGTGCTGTTCGGAATGTCATATGCAAAGAAAAGACTAAAGACTTGACTGAACAATTGGAATGAACTGGAAAACAAATGATAAAAACAATATAGTAAAGTGATGCATACAAACGTCATTCAAATCAATTTCACCGGTAAAATATGCACCCATCGAACAAACAAACAATCTGCATATTTGATAGTTTGAGGTAAAAGGGTAAATGGTGCCAGCAACAACAAAAAAGAATCCAACAAAATCACATTAGTTCCCGATCATTAACTTCTGCTTGGAATAAAGAGCAACATTACAACAGGTGTTGTAGGCAACATTGTGTGCAGAAATTCCGGTACATTTCACGACCTACGGGGTTTTGCAGCATGAAATGCGTTTCATTATTAATCATTCGAAATGCCAAGTTATGCCAGCGCGTGCACCAATATAATCAATGGAATCGAAATGCGTGGTGATGCAAAATTGTGCACGTCGAGTTTTCATTTCATTAATTTTATCAAACTGAGAAAATGCATCAAACACATCACAGTTATTACGAAGGAAGAGTCGTAGAGAGCATGCAAACAAATAGATCATAAATACGCGTGAAATGATAAACGGAAAGGAAAACTGCAATGCATTCAATATATACGTAGATGGTGTATGGTAACTTTTGTTGGTCGTGCATTAATCAATCCACCCTATGCAACGCACAATATGTAGTAATAATACCTGATGCTTTCAATCACAAATATGGCAATTCGCCAAATCGCAGTTGAATTTCCTTTGCGTTGATGCCGATGTGGCTGTTGTTGTTATTTTTTTTTTTTTTTTTTTTTTTTTTTTTTGTATAATTTTTCGAAAGTCATGAGAAGTGTTACGATGAGCTGCTGCATTGAATTCATCTCATCTAATTTATGAAATTGTTCGCATTAAATCGCGCATATTTTCTATGGCAAATGCACATATTTCACTGGAGCACACAAGAATATCAAATGCTCACATAAGCCATAGTGTATGCAGTGGAAATGAAATATAGACGCTCTTTTTCACTCCATTTGATGTATGCACTGTGCTGCCATAGAGTTTTGATTTGATTTCACGGGTTAATTAAATGCATATATGAATACAATTCGAGATGCTTTATATTCTCTTTCTTCTCCAATAATGGGTTGTTTTTATGCTTCTCTCTTCTTATATTTCATTGCACGTTCCCGACTAATGAAGCACGTTGGAATGCAATTGTTTTTGTTCCAATTTCAATTTTTAGACTCTCAAGTCTCATGCCAAACAATTTCTCAAAATTGGCACACACGTTGCAAATTATAAAACCAAATCGAAAATGAAAACGACTTTTTCATCGGTCTCCCTGTATGCAACACTCTCTGTACATACAGTACCGTAAATAAAACACACGTTTTCATTCGACATCTGTGTCTGGGTCTGTTTATATTGTTTTCATATTCACTCACCTTTTCATGTGTGCATTAAATTTCAATATTAAGATACACTCTTCAGTATCATTTTTCTAGCTGATGGTCATTGAAACCTCTAATGTATGTAAGCAATAACATTGTTCAAATGATTAAAAAGTAATTTGATGTTCATGAATGCTCTGATGGTCATTACATCTAAAATATGTTATATTCCCGTTTGCGAATCGGCTTGCATGAACGAGACAAGAAACATGCGCCCAGCGATCTCACTGTCTGTGGGGCAAACATCTTTAACATTTTTTCCCTCTTTGCAAAGTGCAAATTGACCAATCAATCAATTAAGTTTATTATATGAAAGAAACAATCAACCTGTAAACTGTCTGGCCCCAATGACAAAAACAAGCTAATCGTTTCTTGTTTCTGTCAGCAGCAGTGGCAGCATAAAGAGAGAGAGAAAAAAACCATCGACAAATCAAATGTTTGTATATATATAAATGTATTTCAAGAATTTACGGCATTTCAATTGTACAGCAAACAATTTATTGAAAGTGAAACGACCGCGCGGCTCCTCTATTCGGATGCCAAAGAATGAGACGGACGTTTAAATTGAAAATTAAAAGTGTTGATTCTTTGTTCAAGAAATAAGATGGATATTTCCCAACTTTTATTTTTATTGACCTATTCAAAGCATATAGGCGAAAAAAAGCTTGACTTTGATGGTCGACGGGTCAAAATGAATGTTACAATGATTTGATTGAACATCACATTGCTCTGAATTTTGTAAATAAGATATTATCCAAACTCACTGGGAATCACATACACACACGTTGTGTGTGAAATGAAAACAAAACACACATATATAATGGATTGCATTTTCATCAAGCATCTTATAATAATCAAAGCGATTAGATAAGGTGTTTTTTGTTCGCTGATTGAATTATAATTTTAAGGTCTAGTCAGTTATTGATTTCATAACAGCATATGTCGATTAAATATTAATTTTGTATTTTTTTATTTTTTTATCTCTTTCCCTCTCTGCAGGTTGATGTCATCATCAAACGATCCACAGTCGATAATCGTGCATCATTCAATGGCCATTAAACCGCCAAGCATTGGTTTGTCTCAGAAAATCAAAGAGTTGGCTTCATCAGCTGGTCTTCTGTCACTTTCAGCATCTGGATTGGCGTCGTTGTCGTCATCATCACCATCTCCCCCAACATCGTTTTCCAGTGCAAATGCCAAAATTAAAATGCCATTAAAACCTGTGATCAAAACCAAAGGTTCACCAGTTCCCGTCGATTATCCGAAAAAAGTTACTTTTAGCGATTTTGCAACCGTTCAAGTTGTTTGAACAAATTAAAAGAAAAAAAAAATGGAATGCCAACCAAAATAACCGAGATAGATAAACACAGCTAAAATAAAATCAAAGTTATCAAATACAAATTGGAAATTATAGACATCGCTATATAACCGAGGATATGAAGAAAAAAAACTGCATTCTAAAAATAACATTATCGTACAAATTGCCTAGAAAATTATACGATGTTATTTACTCTCAGCTATTTTAATTGGCCAACAAAGTACGCAAAAAGAGAATAGACTTTGGATTCTGTGCCTTGTACGCTTTTTTTTCAGTCACTTTGTGATATCGATGGCACTCTTTGAGCTGTACAATATCGAAAATTGGTCAAAGCACTTTCACATCAGCACACGGTGACTGTATGGCTATAAACTTCGTGTGAGTGCGAGTGTGCGGTGTATCAAATTAAATGCCGTCAAACTTGTCCAAGTGCACGCATCGATCGCTTATCGTTTCAAATACCCAATAATTAAATTGTCATGCAAAAAAGTCTCAAATCATATGTTTACCTCACTTGAACAATGCACACCGCACCGTACCACATCAAAACAAAAACCATAATGGACAATTCACGGCTTTTAGTAGAACGTCGAAGCTGGTTATTTCCATGGTCAATGAACGTTTCTCGTTGACACTTTTCGAGTGTGCGAATGAACGAACGCAAGTTGGCGATTGAAAGCGCATTAGTGGAAAAAAAAAGGTGTTAATAGGTTGTTCAAGTGTTACTTTGATCCACAAAAAAAAATATCTTACAATACTTTCATTAATACACTGAATTATTATTGATCCGGTCAGAAACACTCTTTTCTTCTTAAAACCTGTTGAATTTAATGGCCATTATTTTTCCTTTCTTCTGACAGCTTGTGTATTGCTGTTGCAGTGCTTTTTTTCATTTTTTTTTCTTTACTTCGAACGATCGAACGAGCGAGCGTGTGTGTGTGTGTAAAGTGATCGCATTGTTCAGCGATTTGAACAATTGATTTCACATCGAAATCGTGAACACCGACATACGCTCAATTTCTCACCTGATCGTAATTAAATTTATTGAAACAGAATCCATATTTTTGTTGGTTGATTTTTTATTTTTGTGGCAAAGCGAATCAAGAAACTGAGAGTTTAATCTAGAAAGTTTGTAAATCAATTAAAACTTTCGTTTCAACATTTTAATAATAGAATGTTCAATGTTAATCGGTCGAAGATCATTATTCCAATTTGTCTAGTGAAATTTTTTTGATTTTCTTTTGTGTCTTCGCACTTGAAAATGTGGCTTGAAATTTGGATTAACTTGATTTCTTTATGTAATTCCAATTGAATTGTTTTTATATTTTTACAGAAAAAGTCTTAATATTTTTGACATTCAACGACAAATTCGAGCTCACCTGTTAGTATCCGTCGATTTTCAGATCGAAAATCGATAAGGATGAATTATCTCCTTGGCAATAATAGAAAAAAACATACGAAATACAAACTCAAACGTACTTTTAGTCTTTTCTCCACACACCAAAATACTTTTATTTTTATATTTTTCAACTTGTTTACATCACAATGCACGCTAATCCTTTGAGAAAAAAATACGTAAGCTAAAAAATGCAATGAATGGCGCTCCCGTAATGAAAAAGAGAGATTGTTTTGAATTTATCGTTTGTATAAATTTAAAATCAATTCGATATTGTTTTTTCTTCTATGTTATTTATTTCCACTCTTCTTATTTTGTATATTTGTTGTTAATCGTAGAAAATATATAATAGATCAGGAAATGAAATGAAATTGACTGGACATTTAGACAGAGAAAGAGAGAGCGTTTGATATTCATTGAATTAGATAATTAATATGTAAATCGATATAATTGTATGTTTTTTCAACAGATTTTGTAACAAAAATTTATGCAAAAAAAGATACGGAAAGAAGAGCATATCAAATCGTATTATTTAAGAGACTATTGTAAAAAATATATATCAGTAGTTTTAAATAAAATCAAATGAATAAACATTCAAATAAAACCATTTCTGGTGTCTTTTTTTCGGTTGATAGCCGGCGAGGTCTTCTCTTCATTTGTTTATTTTGTTTATGGTCATTTCAAATTTGCAGACAATGGACGTGATGTGCGGGCATGGGAATTACGAATGATGGAATTGTGAGTGAGAAAACACGTGTTGTAATATATGAATGTTCATACCAACAGCAGTATATGGACGAATGAAAATGAAGCCGATTTAATAAAAAAAAAATGCCATTGTGATTATTGGTAATTTTTTGTATCAGTGTGTGGTTATACCTCAACTGACGTTGCTGTGCGCGCTTTGTTTCTTTTATGAAGTTGATAGATCGCATTAGATCATATTCAATTAACACAGTCATCAATTTTGTAGTGCAATGCGTGTGAAATAAAGCGATTTGAAAATGTAAAAGGTAGGTAAATTGTATGCGAAAACGGCATTGACCCATTCTTTTTTTGGTAATTAATTTTGCGTTTGATTTTTTGTGCGATCGATCCATCTAACCATAGAAAGCATAAATGTCAAAAACTGAGATGATGAACATTTAATTAGATTACACAAGTGTATTTTGTCATCTTCAATATGGGTCCATTAAATGTGATCTTCCATCTCAATTTATGCCACCTGCTCATATTTTTTTCAACGAACGCTTACCAAATCACATGACATTTTAAAGAAAATGGAACTCCGTTTGTAAGATCATGAGATGACCTTTCTCACGTTGACAATATTGATTATTATGGTATTTTTTTTATATTATATTGTCTAAAAGTGGTCAAAAAAAAGTGTTCGCTTTTTCCTTAATTCGCACAAAACCATACAAATTCAATTTCGATAAACAAAGTCTTGTCTTATTTGGTCTAAAAAAAAGCGTTTGACTGCTTTTATTTGACTTCATTTTCTTCTGTTTGAATTGGTAATTAACCTTGATGATTGTGATATACGATGCGAAAGAAACTACATTGAAAATTGCTCACAATTAAAAGGAACACCCATCGAACTAGTTAATTAATAAACTATGAGCGTGGTCAGTGCTCGACAACAACACATACAAACAGACATAAGCGTGTTAACACACAAAAATAACGATTACCGAAAAAATTAAAGCAAAAAAAACCGGTTATGCTTGGCCGGCTAGAAAGAGAAGGTAGTGTGCGCCTGATGCATTTCATTTATGCTGACACGAAAACCGGCTTCAGACCGAAAACTTCATAATTTATTGACCGTAATTCTTTTTAATTAATAGGCCTGTGAAATGAAAACACTTTTTCCTCTTATATTTTGGAAGAGCAACTACCACTGACTGGTGTGCAAATGAAAGTAAATTAAAAACAACACACAAAACAACAATTCGGTGCCGGAAACAAAAATGCACAATAAAAATCATTTTCATTCATTTGTTTTTGTTTCTTTCCTTATTTGGAGTAAACACTTATGATTTTCAATTTAAAAAAAAAAAACATTTTTTTTTATGATCGGCGTTTTGCTACATAGATTTCAAAGAGAAATACGAAAAAACTTACAATACAGCCGAAAACAAGAATGTAAAATGCCAATTGAAGGTGAGAAATTGAAATGGGAACATCATGCTCGTTGGTCGATTTTCGATGGCGATTTTGAATCAATTTCTCCATATGCAATTTCATGTCGTTCAAACGATCCAAGAGGCCACAATCTTGATATTGCCCTAGTATCCAATTAACTCGACCCTTATACGGCGATCCGTATGCTAAAGCATATACATTCAAAAACGGCACAGGACACTCCGGCATTTGTAAAAAGGTATCGAATAAATTGTGTTTATTCAAAATATTTCGAAATATATGGTCCTTATGGGCGTATGCGTATGACACATTTTTCTGGCCGACATTGTAAACAATTTCACTTGTATGGGAAACGGCATGAATGCGTCCCATGAGATGTTCGTATTTTTTCGATTTCATTAGAGAATCGTTCATTAGGTCGGCGTATTTTTGTAGGGTGAGTATGTGATAATTTGATTGCTCCAATTGGTGTAATGTTGTGATATCCGGCAATCGAGATTTCACCATCAGATATGACGTGAGATTGCTATTATACCATTGTGTTATAACCGCAGAATATATGATCCATAGACCCAATATGATTTTAGCCAATAGTGTATGTGGTGAACGCATATATGGTTGATTCAAATTCCATCCGAACAGACGCAAAACTACATGGTCGAATGAATATGATTTGCACGGTTGTATGGTGTTGTAAATATAAAAGAAAATCGCATAAACAGGTAATGCAACGATGATTAGTATCCAAACGGGTATTTCAAATGCATCGAATATATTATTGAGATCCAATGTGAAGCCAGATCGTGGCACTAAAAAGCACAAATCATCGCGTCCAATCGATAAAGTGGGTTCAATTATGCCGAAAAATTGTTGCATACGAAAAAATCGTGCATTAAAACTCATGTCGACCGTTTCATTTTGTAATAGAGCAAAAACGCCCGTCGTCGTTTTATTCGGATACATTTCACCAATTGAACAACCATCTTGGGGTTCAATCAATTTAAATGTTGCGTTCATTTTTTTCGCAACCATTTCACCAAATTTAGCATCAACACCGTCCATAATTGTCTTTCCATTGATTTCATGGAATTCCGCCCGTTGTGGCTCAAAAAACATACCCATCCGTAATTTATGACCATTTAGATTTTTTGTTTTGTCATAGAATAACCGTTCCACACGAATTTCACTCACATTTAATGAAATAAGTTTCTTATCGAACGGCGAATAGGTAAAACAATTCAGTTTGTCGGTCCAAAATACAATGATTACATTCAATACTTGACGTTGCCAAAATTGATTGAAAATCGCCTTCAACTCGATGTCTACCGATTCGGATGTTAGCTTTTCAGTGAAAACGATCGCATAGTACGTATATTCTTTGTTTTTCATCTTCTTTTTAACATACGACAAATTCAAGTCTTGTGAATTTCGCAAAATATTCAGGGAGTACAGCTCGATTCCAATGTTTTCTCGTTCATATGGATTGACGTCCAGTTCTTGTTGTTTGGAACTATCATATCTTTTGAAGGGAATATTTTTTTAATCAACAGCTTGGGTTTAAAAATTTAAAATTACTTACCCATGTAAAAAGATGCCCGACGATGTACAGCGATTCAATGCACGAATAATTCGATCGAAAAATGCAAATGGAACATGTTTCTCAATCGAAATATTCATAAAAATCGTTCGAATATTACAAAATACTTTTGAAATATATGTTGATATATGATACTGATGATCTACTGATGCAATCTCTTCAAATTTAAAGTGGAGTTTTTCTGCATCGGACGATGATTCGAGGTAGGAAAAAATGGAAATGACCAGAATGATACAAACCCAAGTGCGTACCATTTTTAACGACGAAGAGTGGTCAGTTCTCGGCTACGACTGAAAATTAACTACACCTCAATACAGTTCAATTGATTCGTTTAATTCGTTTGATTGATTCGTGGTGAGAATACATATATTTAATATTTTTCCTACTGATTGACATGCCGTACTCTCTTCTCGTGATATATTTTGACAAAATGAAATGTGACATTTTCTATATTTAAACTATAGTGAATAATCCCTATTTAGGAAATGGAAAAATGACATGAATGTCATCAAAATTGACAGCTACTTAATTTTCTATATGATGAATTGACCTTGATAAGTTGTCAACTGCAACGACGGTTTTCGAAGGTCAAAAACGATGAAAATTATTCTTTCATCACTAATCGAATACTTTTCAATGTACAGTTTTTTTCGTGTGACATTTTTTAACAGATTTCCTAGTATGATTTTTAATTTGCAAAAAAATGTAATTTTGTGATATTGTCTCACATATAAATGCAAAAATAGCAATTGCAATACCAATAAAGTACATATAAAATACCGTTTGAAGATTTGATATACTGAATGCAACATTAGCATCGTCACCGCCTAGTTTGGCTTGATTCTTTTGTTCGCCAACGGTATTAATTCGTTCCCATTTTTCGATGATTCCACCTTCTTGTGCCTGTCGAATGATAAAGTTGATGCGTCCTTTAAGTGGTGTACCATATTTGATCCCGTGTACGGCCAAATAAGGAATTGCACACTGTTTTACTTGATGGAAATAGACTTCGGAATTTTTCGTAAAGTTTCGACGCCAGTGCACATTGATATGATACTTATTTGCAAAAGCATACGAACTATCAAATGTTTGAATTTTTTCTTTCAATATCGGATTTGTTCCATTCTCGAGTCGTTTAAACAGTGGCTTGTAAACACCCTTATACTTTGGATCGTCGAAAAACTCAATAATTTGTTTATTATAGCGCGTAAGTGATAAAATTTTTAAATTGCTTTTCGTCAATTCTTCAATGTTTTGAATGTTTGCTAGCTCTTTGGGAGCAATTAAAGAACCTGACATTTTAGCTTGGTACCTAAATTTTGGTAAAGTAAGAAAAGAATATTTTAAACAACACAATATAAATCATTAAACACAAGTACGTACATTGAGGAGAGGATGAACATAAACCATATCCAGAAGATGAATAGAATGCGTTGTCTATATTTTTTGGGATCGTAGCTGGACGATTGCTGTATCATATGAGCGTAAAATTGAAAGATAAAATACTGAAACGACTGCAGTCCCTTGAAGCCATTGATAAGCACATAAAATATAAGCACATAGCTTGGTAATGTTAATGCAATTGTTAACCATGTTTCGCCGAGAAATGGTCGAAAAATATTCGATAGATCCGGGGCCTTTCCTTTCCGTGGTACCTGGTAAAGTAAGAATAGAATATAAATCTACTAGTACGCAGTATTGGACTCCAAAACCACACATCAAGTGCAAACATTATCAATTCATAGATTTCATTTCAATCATACCAGAAAGCAAATGTCATCTCGTCCAACTGCATACGTGGCTTCGACTTTTCCTTCAAAATGATTCAAACGATAAAAACGCACATTCATTCCAAAATCATATTTTCCACTTCTCAACTCAGCCAAGCATCCGCTTGCCTTTCCACTGGTTTCATTATACTCTCCAATTTCTTCGCCGTCGGACGGTTTGTCCAATACAAGTGTTGCATTCATTTTTGTAACAATTAATTGCGTCAAAAGTCCATCGGTTCCATCTAAAGCAGTGATATTGTGTGTATTCGATGGATCAAATCGAGCGCGCGACTCATCAAAAAACGAAACAACCTTAAGTGAAATGTTTTTTGTTAAACGGCGTGATATCCAGTAACATTAATTTATACTAAATTTTTACTTTACATTGATATCACAAAGAGTCG